GATACTGTTTGATTACCTGGTATAGGTGGTGACTGCCAGATCCCACCATTGTAAATGTGAGGCAGGATAGCGAGAAGCTAGGAAAATTCCTGGACATGTGGAATGGGGAAACCAAAACAAGAAAATTAAGACCAAACAATCTGAACAACCTACAGCCAACTAGTGAACTGCAATACCTTATCTGTCCTAACCAAGGACACTTGAGAGCAAATGGTTTATATCTCTCCTCCCTAACCAGAGAACACATAGCTTAAATCACCCTGGTTGGGAAAATAAAGAACAGAGACCCAATTAATGCCATTTGTGCCAGCCAAAACCAAGGACAGATGAAGTTGGGAACAAAAACAAAAACTTGATTAGAGCCAGACAGACCTAAGATAAAAGTAAAACAGTAAAGCAGACCAAAGAATAATCCCAAACTACCCTATATGCTTGCTTTGATGCATCAGCATATTACAAATGTACCTGGAAAGCTGATGAATATTCTGCCGAGACCCTCTCCTAAGATTCTCACCTATAGAAGAAAGGTAAAAACCCTCAAGACGAAGACCCAGGGAAGGCTCGCTTTAGAGCACACCCATGTCCCTTCTCGAGCATGAACTTTTCACTTCCTCCTAAATTCTAAGAGTCCCCACCAGGCTTGCAACCCAGGGAGCAGCTTGTCCAAGGCTTACTCTCTGATTCTGTCTCCAGGGCCCACTTTTTCTCTGACTTTCCAGTGAGCTAAAAGCAGCTCCACCTTGGCCCACTCTGTCACTGTGACTGTTACTTCCAAGTGAGCTAACAACAGCACCCACCTTGGCTCACTTCTTTCCTATAACATTTCTAGGGAGTCAAAGCAGAGCACTGCCTAGGTTCTCCTATTTCTTCTGCCCTAAGTCCCTCCTTTGTTTCACTGTCCCTAGCTTTAATAAATGTACTCTCAGAGTCACCTGGACTCGTGTTGTGCAATCTTTCCTACACAAAATCAAGAACCTACACACTACAGGCCTACCTGAGGCAGACCACTCTGGGCCGGTCCCCATCCGGTAACAAAGGTATTTTATCCCTTAATGAAATTAAGTAATCTCAGGAATAATAATTTGAGACTATAAAGATTCTATTTCCTAACAACCTTTTAATAATTTTTAGCATCTGTTAAAAATCTTTGCCTAGTCTTGGCCAAGTGTCTCATTTGGTTGGAGCATCATTCCCATTCACTAAAAGGTTGCAGGTTTGATCCCAGGTTGGGGCGCCTATGGGTGGCAACCAATTGATGTTTCTCTCTCTGTCTCTCTCCCTTTTTCTCTCTCTAAAAATCAGTGAAAACATATCCTTGGGTGAGGATTAAAAAGAAATCTTTGCCTAAATCAGTTACTTCAACTGTGGATTACAAACTGTTGATTTTTCTAATTTTATTATTTCTTCTACCTTTTCTATTGGACATTTTTTCTGTAACAGAAAGCTTCTACTCCATTTCTCTTTTATACAGTATTACTGTGGACTTGTGGAACTTTTTAATTTTTCCAACTATAAATTCCAAACATTACTGTCATTACTCATTTTCATGTTCAAGTTGTCCCACATTGGCCAGCAAAAACTCCTGAAGACAGCCTGTACAATTCTTTTCAGATGAATATGGCATTTTGTGTCTTCTCTAAGAAATCTTTGCCTGCAAAAAGTTTGTAAAAATATCTTCCTACATAGTCTTATATTTTTGCATTGTGTGAGTTCAGGTCCAATGTCCGTCCCTTCCTTCCTTCCTTCCTTCCTTCCTTCCTTCCTTCCTTCCTTCCTTCCTTCCTTCCTTCCTTCCTTCCTTCCTTCCTTCCTTCCT